AGAAAAGGGTGGGAAAAGGGTGGGAACGAACTAGCGCACCACTGCGCGATCCTGACACCGAGAAAACGCCTGGCTCATGATACCATTTGTCATGCCCTGATAAGGATTTAGATCGTAGATCGGAGATGAACTAGGGTTTGGAACTCAATTGGGGATCGAATTGCCAATCCAGGAGAATTTCTCTATTAAAAAGTGTTCGGTGGCTATGTAAAGTGTAAAGTGACTTAATCACATAGGAATCAACCTGCCCACGCAAGAGCTGGGGGTGGCTGTTATATAGCCCGACCTCTACTACACGATACAGTAACTGATTGACTACAGTAACTGCAATATAACGGCGAGTCACGCGAGCCATTGGATTCTCTTGACGCTGCTTCCTTGCCGTCCGATAACTGAAGAATGTCTGCACTTGGGATACCTGACACCTCCTCCGCGGTCACCTTCGTGGCCCTGTTTGCCGTGTTCGCCGCGACCCATCTACTGAGCTTCCAAGACTTGCCATGGTAGAAGGTACGTCGTCCAATTACTCAAGTAGATGGTTGTTGTTCTTCTAATTTCTCTACCAAATGCTTCTTTTGTCCGTGTGAGGTGGGTGAGATGCAAGCAACTATGCTTTTGGATAAGAACTGTGCTTTTGGTCTGACTTGATTAAGCTACGCATGTCAATCAACTAAAATACTTACACCTTAAATCTATGCTTTTGGACATCAAGTATGCATTGCTCTCACTTAATTAAGTTATGCATTCGATCGATATGCATAGACTCCCCATAAATCCAGTAATATATTACAAGTTTTTAGGAAAGTAGCCCCAAAAAAATGAGTCTCTGACAACAACGATGGCAGATTAAGTTGGCTTCTGTTGTTGGAAGAAGACTTGATTTTGACTTGTCATTGTACCAAAGGATGGCTGCAGTGAAGCATTTGATGTTGGGTGTCCTATCATCATACCAATGGACGACTGCAGCGAGGCATTCAGAGCTAAGCGTCCTCTCATCGTACCAACGGATGGCTGCAGCGAGGCATTTGGAGCTGGGTGTCCTCTCATCGTACCAAGAGACGGCAATAGTGAGGCATCCAGAGCTGAGTTGCATTGTTCTGAATAGGTATAAACGTGATTTGTCGGAACTCCCAAATGACCCTATGAGTAGTAGCAAAGGTTAGTGTCCATAAATCTTCAAAATGATAAAACTGAAATATGAGTGTAGGTAGCTTATACCATGAAGCTATTGTAATGTTGCAATTCAGCTGGCAATCTTTGGTCTTGTCCATACATCACCATAGGATTTAGGATTGGGTTGTACTGTGATAGATATGCAGGCATTTGATTCATAAAAACCTCCGAATGACCCTATAAAAAATGGTGAGATAAATCTTGTATAACTTAAGTTTTTATATCAGATCAAGTGTGAATTTATTTATACCATTAAGGTGCCACGAGGTTGTAGTGCTACATGATTATCTACTTTGTAAACCTTCTCCTCGGTGTCACTGTCATCACAAAGGAATGTGTCATAGTTTAAGGTCCGAAGCACTTGTTCCTGAAACATCTTGAATATTGGTGGAGTATATGTAGTTGATGCTTGCCTTAACATATAGCTTTCTGCCTTCAGCTTAGGAGTACTTTGTGTTGCTTAGAAGTCACATCTCACCTCTTCAAATCTTTTATCTGCAACTAGATGTTTGAAATGCTCAAAAAAATAAGCATGTCATACTTAGAACTAATGTAACGTTTTAGTTCGTTGTTCATGCTTTCACTCCTCTGGGTACTGCTCATGTGTGCAGAGAAAGTATTCCTGCCATACACTAGGGCCCAATGCTCCCTTTTCTCAAATAACCTTTGGAGCCATGCATTGTCCCGGAGTTCATACTTGTCAAGCATTTCATTCCATGCACTTATAAATTCATCTTCCTCAATATCATAGATACAATGCTGAAAATCAGCATTGAACTTCTTGTAATCTGTAACAACTCCACCAAGATGTTTGACAACATTTTGATTCATATACCACACACAAAGTCTATGATGAGAGTGAGGCAGGACTGAACGGATCACCTTAGCCATTGCTTCATCTTCATCAGACAGAATTGTATGTGGATGCTTTCCAGACATTACTGTTAAAAATGTTCTAAAAAGCCAAGCAAAACTTTCTGTTGTTTGATCATAGAGAAGTGCAACACCAAACACAATTGTTTTCTTGTGATTATTCACGCCAACAATTAAACCAAACGGACGCCCATCGTCTAGCTTTCTGTATGAGGTGTCAAAGCATATGACATCACCAAATAATGCATAGTCTGAGACCATTTTGAAGTCCGTCCAAAATATATTAGTTATCAAATCATCCTCATCAACTTGAATTGAATAAAAAAACTTGACATCTTCTGAAACCTTCTTCTCCATATATTCTAACACTCCACCCGTGTCACCGACCTTTGCTTTTAGTGTTCTCTTTGAGTACAAACGATTTTTCATGTCAGTACTTATGAAGCCAAGGTTTTCAGGTCCACATGCTTCTTCCGTCATTAGATCAATAGTTGCTTTATTTGAAATGCCCACTGACTTTGCGACCTCGGCATTGGCTAGTTGGGCTTCAGTTACTTTCCTGTGTGATCTTAAGTATTGCGGCATGTTTCCAGTAGCAAGACTATGGTTATGGGCTTCTTTAAATTCGTATACATAATAAGTCCCATTACTAAGACTTATCTTCATACGTGCATCACAACCACATCGTGTCTCAGGCCTACTATAACTGAATTTCTCCTCTCTTTTATCTTCCGCACGAACTCTTATTAGTTGAAGTAATTTTCTTAGTCGCATCTAAAAATTCATATGACCAGAACAAGTTAGAACTAGTCCATACCTTGACGAGAACATGTGAATGTCCGTTGTTGTATTGTACTGGAATTTTTTACTTTATGATGATTGCCTCTTCGGATGCTAAAACCCAAGGAATAAACATACTTGTTATAGAAGCAATATGCTTCTTCTTCAGATAAAAACTGCATGCCAATCTTTGGCACCCTTTTTTCAATCTGCTCTGTTGCATTGCTAGCTGTAGTTTCTTCGACCCCCTGTTTAAATTAGTACTCACTTTAGCAATTGGTGCAAATACAAGGAAAAGGAGAAGAAAACATACCTGTGTTGTAAATCAGCGATAACCTCGCTATGACTATTTATTTCGATGTCACAGTGGAATGGGAAGGAGAGGAATCTGTTTTGTTTTCCCATTCTGAACAAGGTGGTTAATAATTTCAATCTTCTGACTACGCATTCTCAACTAATCAGAGGTATGTCTTTGCCCCTCGAACCATTACATTTCTCTTATATGTCCAGTATTAGTGTCAATTTTTCCATCAGTGATACAACTTTGTATTGTGCGATCTGTGCAAGACATGTTAGCTGGATATAGGCACACTAGGAGTAAGAAATATACGCATCTACTATCTGGTTTCATTTTGCTACATGGTTCCACTGACAGGAATCACAAAAACCTGAAAGTCATAGATCTGTTCCATTACAGGATTGGGAGAAGACTGTCGGGTCAGAGAAAAAAGGAAGAACGCAATGGAAACAAGATGGCTTACATTTGGGGGATCTGATTCCTCATTGGTTCTGGCAAGAATTGGTGAAGAAGCCATCAAGTTCCTCCAGCAAGTCCCTTTGTTGGATCTGTGTTCGTAGATAGATTTGATGAAGAAGTGTATAGTTTGGTTTGTTTCATACTCTGTGTGCGGGATAAGCTCACGGCCAATGCTTTTGGCGGGCAATACATTTTTATTTTCCTCTAAATCTCTGTTCTGTTGCGTTAATTACGTTGCCTAGAGAAAGTCTGGAGCGGCCGGTTTTAATTAAGAGATGGGTGCCGGCCGGTTTTGATTAATTACTGGGTTTTTTAAGCAGAAAGGAGAGCAACAGCATGGGATCGTTGGATGAGCGCCACGTATCAGGGAGCACCAATGGAAGTATTTTCGCGGAGCAGGCAACCTGGCACGCCGCACGTCATAAATTCCCAGCTGGCCAGCTCGACTCCTTGGAACAGGCGAGCAGCCGCAGCCCGCGCAGGTCTCCAACTCTCCATAAAATTCTCAGCTCCAGTCCTCTCCAATTCTGTACGTAGGTGTGAAGACTTCAATTTCTTTAATAAAACAGTACGTTTCCTATCAAAAACTCGTTATTTTTTCATATCTTTAATAATTAATATGTATATACAGACGTATCCCTGTATCCTAGTTTTTAGAAAATTGTCGTATCGGGCGTATCACCGTATTGCGTATCCGATATGTATCCAAGTATCCGTGCAACATAGCTCGTGCCAATGCCATTAATAAAGTGGCTAGCATAAACGTTTTTTTTTTCAAAAAAACTATTGTCTCCGTATCAAAATATAAGACCTTTTTTGTAGGATAAAGGAGCCTAAAAAACGCCTTATATTTTGTACGAAGGAGTAGGAAACAAGACATAAAAAGGTTTCAGGTCTTTGCATGCGGTCCGTACGTGGGTTGAGACGTGTAGGGTGGTATTTTGGGCCAAAAGAACTTGACTGCGTACATCTTTTGAATAAACAAAGAACATAAACGTTGAATGGAAAAGTTGGATCATGTCGTTCAGGTTGAAACTAGACTGTTCACGCTGTCCGAGGAATTAAGACATCATGCTTTTACTACCGATATTCAGTTACCAACGGCGAGATGGCAAAGAGATGACCTTGGACAACATTCGGCAAATGCTGACCTATCGAAGTGCAACAAATGGACCCGATCAACGAGCTCAAAGTGGAAGCAAAAAGTCCTCCGCATGCCGTGGAAATCTTTCTGCACAGGTTGACCTGTTAATTAATTGACTAATCAGCTCGGTTACAAGACCTTACGTCTACGTTGTATTGAAGTTTATTATTCACTACAATCAGCTTCCAAGGCTCCGATTTTCGCATGAGAGCTCTTAGACGCGAGGTGTCACTGTACAAACGAACGGGAGCAAACGAATGAACGAACATCAATCTAAACAAGCTTGTCAACGTCGGGAGGAGCTATACGGCGGGCGAGCCACAGCCAGGTTCGAGGTGTATTGCCAGCCAGCCGGACGGCGGCTAGCCGTGGCAGCTCCCCGACGACGGGGGGTGTTTGGGATCGTTCCAGCACGAGTTGCCTGCGCCCGGCGGCGAGCCGCCCCTGGGCAGGGCCTGCATGATCAGCGACCCGGCGCCCTGCCGCAGCCACACGTCAACGCCGTCCCCTTCCAGCAACCTCGCCGCGAGGACCGCGTTGCAGCACTGCATCAACGCGACGGCGGCGACGAGCAGCGCGGCCCTCGTTATCCTCGCCGTCGACGCCATTTTCCTTGGGCGGATTTCTATCGGGCCGGGGTTATGATCGGCAACTTGCCGCTTGCCAGTTGAGTAGGGTGACAGCAGGTGGAGAAACACGAGCACTTGAACTCGGCTGCTTGGTGGGGGAGGGGCGAGCTCATGGCTCCGTTTTATACTGCTTGTTCAGTGCGTATGCTGGTATGCATGCATGGTTAACCGTCAAAACCAAGGACCGGACCGGGTCTATTCTATACTCTGTTGTAGTAGTAGTTACTACTCGACTTTTTTATCGGGTCCTATACGTACGTACGCGTTTAAGGCGGCCCGAATAATTTTCTGAGTTGCTGAACAGATTAAATGTGCCTGCAAAAAAAAAAGAAAAAAAAGAACAGATTAAATGCTGGAGCAGCATCGTAGAATTTGATCTGTCGATCGACCAGACCAACCCAAATCAAATTTCAACCAAAATTTCCACATTTCATAAGTCTGTGTTCCGCACAAATGGACGGACGGAGTTTCCGGTCACGTAATCAATAAACCTCCCCGGTCGGTTTCCTAGCTAGCTATTCGACTCGCGCGGCGCCTCCCTGATCAGACTTGGAGACACGGAACACCATCATTGATGGAAGGTATTGCGACGCTTATGATATCTAACCTGACATCGAGTTCCATATACCAGTACCCGGCCTGCAAGAAGTTGCAGAGGGTTTATGAGAAGATGCACATTTTTGCAGATAAAAAAAAGAACACTAATACTGCATCAACCATATTATTAGAGGTGTGTTCTTACCCATAAATAGGTACTTTGGTATGCCAACACAAGGTCAAAAGGTAGTCAATATATAGCTCATTGTTACGAGGTACAACAGAGACGGGTTCGGTATGGCATATGAGCGGGCACGCTGATTAGGAGAAAGAAACACTTTTAGTAGACAAACGTCAAACCTGAGATTGAATTGAAATGTCAGTGCAGAATTAGTAATTTCCTGGGAGGAAAGGTAAAGCATAATAAAATCCAATCAAGAAAGAAGAAGAAACATACATACACCATCGAATTCTGATGAAACACTGAGGTCTAAATGGCAAAAATATGTGTGACAATGGGGTACTGTTTAACAAAAACAATCATTTATATACTATGAACGCATCCATTGATATCAACAATCTATTCTGGTGAAGAATCTAACTGATGGACAGCAAAGATGTAATCTTGCCACGTAATCATTGTTATAAACCATGTTCAAATGCCTACAAATAAGTTGTTCTTAACTATGATCTGAGACAGAAAGGAATAAAAGCCTCTCCTAGTATAATTAGATTATTAAGAGTTTGACTCGTAATGCACCAGGTGCTCACGATTTCAAAAGGTGTACAGCCAGTCTGATAATTTCACAAAAAGGGCATAACCTTCAATGTGCACATGAAACTATACAAATATAAGAAAACCACTACCTACTCAAAGGGATCATCACTTGTCATGAGGAATTGCAGGTGCATACCCACAGATTCAAAAAAAAAACCCTCAAAGATTAAGAGAATGCTAATACTCCTATATAGCAAGGAGGAAGATCTTGCTACACAACAACAGTGGCCTACGACAGGAGATGTAAATGATAAATTCAACTATGATTACCTACTGTATAAGTGGACCACTATCTAAAGCTCTCGAGCATTATGGTAGATCAAACAACTATCATATATGAAGAAATTCGATTTTGCAGAGAAGAAACAGTTTGATATAACTTTATTGACATCGTGTATGCTAAGAACTAGCAGAAGATTGTGACATTCATGCCTAGATGAAAACAGGAGTTCTATTTCAGATGGAAGCTAAAAGATTGTTAAATATGCAGGTAGATTTTGCGATCTGACAGAAAAATTCTGGATAGCTGATAATTCATACTGTCCAGTATCACATCTGGCTTTAACAAGTTTAATACAAAGTGACGCGGTATAAGCTTGATATGGTTGTGGAGATATGTTTTTACTACACTGAAAACAGGATAGATGCCATCTAGAGGAGCAGCTTGCATCTGTTACTGCCTAACTCTGTTTGCATAAAGCAATAGCCTGTGAATGTAACACCTGAGATCAATCTAGGCAGATCCATTTGCTGGGCTTATACCATGATATAACATATTAGCAACATAACTTCATTCATACATGTTGCATTGCTGGGCATAAAAAAGGAACACATGTAGCCCTTTGATTGGTGCATATCAAAGGAGGCTTACTCTTTACCAGCCATAGTATTTGGGGGAGATAGTAGGCCATATACAGAAATTGTATTACTGCATTTAGTTTTCAGATCAATTGTGCCTAGAACTGAAAGCATCAGCCTGGCCATTCTTTCTTCATGGAATGATACCAAGAGTGCAGATATACTACTCACTGAGATTTCAATGCATCTGCAAAATGACCTGATCTCACACCTATGTTTGCCAACATTACATAAGGATGAACATGTTCATAACATGACATGCTTTCTTCTTTATTAAGTGATGGCATGGCCAAACCACATACTAGGACTCATGAACAAATGAATGTGTTAGCAACATAACTTCATTCATCATGTGTTAGCAGCTCCAGCATGTGACAACCAACAGTTAGCTAGGCAAGAACAAATGAATTGAAGACAGAGATTGGAATATGTGGTACAGTACGCATCAAAATTTGAATACCTTGTTCTTGGTTCATGCAAATCTGAATCTATCGGGCACTTGTCCTCTGCAAGCATCATCATAGTCTTCAGCAAGGTATGGCGCAGCTTGCTTGTGAGGGCATATGTACTTCTCCAAGAATACCATTTCGGACAGCGTGAGTGCGGAATAGTAGTCCCGGTCGCGACGTACCAATCCATTTTCCTTAAGATACTTAACAACGTAGTACCTGGGTCTGATCTGGCGCTCCAGGCTGTAAGCGAGAATTGCCGGCCGATGAGCAATGTATGCTGGTTCCAACCCCATCTCAGAGATGAGGAACTCTGACATGCGCTGCACCATGCCCTCAGAACTCCTCAGCATCATTGGAGACTTGGACAAAGCAATGCGCACCTCAGCATCCGACCACCTGAGCGTCTTTTTTAGGTACTCCATTTTGGCAGCAATCTTCTCCTCGCTGTGGAATGCAACAGCATGCATCGCGTGCCTGAACATCGGAGATTCCCGGCTCACGCCAAGACCGTCGGCACGAGCCACCATTGACCGGATGCATTCTGGGTTGGCAGTCAGCAGCCATGGCATACCAACGCATAACTTGGCAATGTCGCGATCACCTAGCCCGCACTCCCGCAGCAACGCTACATTGGGCTCGACCGCACCCTCGATGCTGTGTGTGAGGAGGTTGCAGTTGAACTTCAACGCCTGGAGGAAGGCCTCGGAGGAGCCGAAGAGGGTCAGGTAGTACTGCAGCTTGGAGACGACAGATCTGCAGCGCAAGCGGAGGAGGGGCACGATCTCGGAGCGCGACAACCCGATGCCACTGAGCGCAGCCAAGTTGGGGGCCAGAGTACTCTCCACGCGGGCGCAGAGTAACCTGGGGTCTTTGGCGACGACCGCGGCGACGTCGGCTCTGGAGAGGCCGAGGCCGGCGAGGAAGGCGAGGACGGCGTCGGGATTGGAGGGGGACTTGAGGTGGGAGATCTTCGGGGAAGCCTTGAGGGCCTGCACTCGGGTGAGGCCGCAGGTCGCGACGAGGTACTCCTCCACGGCGAATCCCGTGCTCGGGGAAACGGCGGGCGCGGCCGCGGAGAGGAGGCGGGGGAGAGGGGTGGATGGAGACGAGAGGAGATGGGACACGATGCAGCTTCGGAGGCGAAG